GTTTGTTTTCACTAGTATTATGTATAAGATCATTTAAAAATTTGTTTAAAGACCTCTTTGGTTCCAATTCTTCATTGCTTGTTTATCTTGTTTGATGTTTGAGCCTTATTTTTGGGTACTATGATCTTTGGGCCTTATTTTCGGGTACTAAGATGTCTGAGCTTTATTTTCGGGTACTGAGATGTTTGAGATTTATATTCGGGTACTGAAAGGTTTGAACAATATATATTTTGAGATAACTTACCATCCAAATGTTTGCGTTTGCCTAAAAGATACTATTAAAGAAATCTTTGGTCCCAATTCTTCATTGCTTGTTTTATTTTGAATGATGGTGAGCTTTATTTTCAGGTGCAGAGATTTTTGAACTCCAAGGTTTTCTTTTTCTATTTTTTGTTTTTGCATGATTTCAATATTGGTCGTATTAAAATAAAAGAATTGACATATTGGCAGAATATGCGGGGATAAATGGACCTCATAAGGAAAGAAACAAAGATAAATGGACCTCATAAGGAAAGAAACAAAGATAATAGATTTACCTATTTCATTGTCTGATTGAGAATCCATTACACCTTTTAATCCTGTTTTTCTTTTTGGAATTGGTCAAAATCTGGTTGCATACGGTTGGCCAATGTCAAACCTGGTAAGTCCAAATCTAGTGCTATAATCTTGTTATGTTTCTGTTTCCTGGCGGTTCTTTAGGGAAATTTTAAGTATCTCTCATAATATGTCCCTCTTGTGCTATCCCTTCGCGTCAATAATCTCATAATATGATGAAAACTATGGACTGTGTGCCCCCATCGTCACTGTCATTTGATTCTCTGTGTTCTTTGTTGTCTTCTGTGCCTTAGATTTCTCTCTCCCCCCTCCCCTCTTTTAAAGATGAATGACATTTCATGCAACAATTTACGGAGTGGTTAACTGTTTTATGAAATCTATGCTACCAATTTGTGTTCGATGGTTTCATCTTGTCAGGTATTTGAGCCTTATTTAGGAAATCTGTGGTAAATAAAATTGGTGTTTGTTAATACAGACTTTGTGCCTTGTAGAGTCTTGTCCAAATTTCATACTAGTATGATTTTCACTGAGAACTTGGGCTGATGAAGAAGACAGGTTATAATTTTTGAAGTATGCTATCTGCTTCTTATGAGATCTTTAGCTAGTGTGAGCATTATATATAAGATTAGAATACCCAGCAAGCAGCAGCTCTGGTTAGAGTTTATTTAGCATTGTATTTGTTCAGCCCAAAAAGCGTGGTTTTGTATTTATTTATTATTTTTGATACAAATGATATTCTACTACTTTAATCTAAACTATATGAATGATTTTAAATATTGGAAGCCCTTTAGTAGGCTGGTATATGTTTTGTATGATATGTTTGCACAAGCGTGTTTGCCATTAGTATTGTTAAGCCCAATAGAAAGATGTAATTCAGACCAAACTGGAATACTCTTTTTCAAGCAATTGAGCTCTAAGTAGAGAACTGGCCGCGATTCATTCTTTTCTATGCCTTAAGGACTTAAATTGCATGATGTAAGAACTCAATGAACAAAATGCTGAAATTGTAAAAGGACTAAAAGAACTATTAAAGGAGATAGAAATGTGTACGAATGTGGAGTATGATTCACCGAAAGAAAACGTAGTTCTAGAGTTGTTATTTAGTTGGGTATTAATTGGGCTAAAGTATCGGCATATTATTTGGAGTTACTAATGTGATTTGAATATTAATTTGGCTTACTAATAAACTTAGATATAAATGAATATGTACGCTTAACATAATTGGTATGATTCAATTTGAATTAGTTTTTCAAAAGGCAAGAATCGAGATGTGAAGCGATCCTAAATGGTCAGGTTAGTTTTTTTAGCCTTCTCCATCAGGTATAAGGGTCTTGGTATACCCTTTATAAATATGCAGAATTTTTCCTAATTTGGATGGAACCAAACATCTTTAGGAATGCATTGTGCATTAAAAGTTTGAGCTATCAAAACGTTTAAGATACAATATATTTAGTCCTATACAATAATTTAGGTTTTAGCCACAAAAAAAACTTTCACTTTTGTAAAAAGCCAAAACTTTTCCAAAAAAAGACAAAAACCCCTCAACTTTCAAACTAAAGACATGCAAATGTAAAGAATTCCTTAGAAAATCCCAAAACAAATAAGGGCATTTTTGTCCATTTTGGCTTCTTTTAAAAATATTTCTCTCTCCTTTGGCCGATTCCAAAATGTCCCTAGTATGCAATATAGTTTAATATTAATTGTTAAAAAATACAGTTTCAATGGGTAAGCCTAGCCTACCCCATCAAACCCCTTGGGTGGGTTTGGGTGAAGGCATTGAAACCCTACTTCGGCCCAACTCCACCCTAAATAATGATTATACCAAAAATGGCTCAATGCAAGCCCAACTCAATCCCAAAATTGTAGGGTTGAGCTGGACTGGCTCGACTCATTTCTAAATCCTATGTTAAGTGGTTGAAGTAAATGAATTTCAACAATTGAAGAGATACAAAATTAAAGTATTTCAAATGTGCTTGAGCTCTAACTTGTGAAAGACTACCATGTTGTAACTTTGGAATGTCCTCAAGTAGTTTGTCACCATAGGTATACAAATTTGTCCCGGCAAATTTTTTTGAAGTTTTTGGTCCATGGGAATTTGAAATTTCGGTCAATATTCCTCCATATTCCACAAGAACTTTTTTTAATCCCCTGCACTATATGTAAATTTTGTTTACCCTTTATAGATATAAGGGTTTTGGTTTACCCTTGATAGATATGCAGAATTTTTATCAATTTGGATGCAACCAAACATATTTAGGAATACATTGGCATTGAAAAATTTGAACTATCAAAACGTTTAAGTACGACAAGCAAGTTAACTTATCAAAGCCAGCATTAATTCTTTTTCTTATTCATTCCTCTTTACACCCCTAGACTCCAAAACTACTTTGTATGCGTAATTCGTCTAACCTATACATAACTTTGGGGGACCCATGTAGTAAATGGGGGCAGCAAGTTCTGGTTTTGGTTTGGCTTTGGAGGAAGTCATGTTGGATTAAATGAGCGGTTGAAATTGAAGACATTTAGGTCTTCACTTGGGGCTGCCGACATTGGTGTAGAGGATGAGAAAAGTCTTGCATTTCACATTGAGCAGCAGTTGATTCATTTAGGGGGTGTATCCGATTCTAACTTTTAATGACTTTTTGTGAGTTACTTTTATAGAATTGACAAATTTTTAATGACTTTTTGTGAGTTACTTTTATGAGAAAAGTTTTACATACTTCTATCTACTATTTTTAATATTTATTTTATGAATAGTATTTATTTATTTTTAATATTTATCATAGAGTAGTATAACGAAAAAAGAAATTGCTTCTAATATTTATGTTTTGTATGGTGAATTAACTAGTCTGCATATGGAACAAGTAGCCAA